CCAACATTTAAAGTATGTTTTTTTAAAATCGCCAAGCTTTGAGTGGAGCTACATTGACTAGGGAGTATCCATTTTGGAAAACATCGTACGTATGATTCAGGCGTTAGTCGTGTTCACAGAAGGACGGTCGGACAGACGGACGTTTAAAAAACACCTTTTCGGATTCAAGGGATCCCAAAACGTGTATTTCCGTTGAAATCCCGAAATTGACTTTCCGCAGCATTACAAAACTTTCTCTATACAACGTATATTACTCCGTGTATACGAACATATACGAGAAAAAATCAAGAAAGTAAAAAAAAACAAAAAAAACAAATTCCGATTGTGGGTCTCTTGAAGTTGGCACAGTGTCTGGGAGGATGAAAACCTGTGATTTTAAGTATTGTTTGGGTACAAATAATATATCGAAAAAAAAGTGTATGCATTTTTTAGGTATATTCATTTTTCAGTTCTTTTTGACTGGAATATAAGAACTTCAGGGTTTCAGACTAAACTGACATACAAATGTTTTCGATGTTGGTTCTGCGTTTTCAGAAATTACCGCTTACTGACCCAACATTGGTAGCTCTTTAAGGTTTGTTGAATGTTATGTTGAGAAAATTCAACTTACCTATTGATATCTACAACTACAATTTATACTAATTCATATTTTTCTTTAATTTCTAAAAAAAAATAATTTTATTATTTATTAAGTTATATTACCATCAAGAATTCATCCAACTCTTCGTCCCTTTCGTCAAACGACGGTAACTGTCCAGACAACTTGGGACAATCTTCCATAGGGTTGCAGTTGTGTTTATTCATTACGATATTATAAAAGTTGCTATGTATTGACATAGGATAATAATATGGAATGCGGAATGTCTGCAACTGAAAAAATTGCAAAGGGTCCAAGTTAGCACACGAGTTACAATTCTTTTCTTCTTCGTGGGGCTTTTTCCAACTTCAGAGGATGTCGATTTCGGCTATCCGCACCGCGCCCCCACTCAGTCCCCCATGGGGACTCGTAATGTTAACCTTTTACACCACACGAGGGCTCCTCGGTCTCTAGTCAGCAGACTCACAAGGCCACCCGCGACAACACACACACACACACACACACGAAAGAGAAGGGACAAGCAGCCATACCCTCAGTGGAGCTCGAACCCGCGACCCTCCGGACCGAGGCCCTGAGTCGGTACACGCTCTAGCCTCCTCGGTCATCAAGGACGACGAAGTTCACATTCTTCATATAATACGCACAATATATCGTGTATAATCAAAAACATTTTTAATATTCATAGTATCACATAATGTAGGATAATTTCGTGGCTTTGGTGATACAAGGGTGATGGTAATACAAGGGTTTTATAATCTACGAACATTGAAGAGCTAAAATATCGCCTGTATGTAAATCTAATAATCCATGATAATAAGCATACATTATCTCATTTCTCTTATTTGTATCATCCATACCTAATGCTTGTCCAATTTCATGAAGTAAAACAGAAAATAAATTGTTTTGACCTTGTTGTGTATTTGCATGTCTATTATAATACCAATTTTCACCTCAATCAATATGGATTTCTAATGGCTGATTATTTGCAAAAGGAAATTTAGCATATGCTAATATACCAACTATACCAACAAATTTATTGGACCACATGTTGGTCACGTTGACATTTATGTTCACCACGTTTATTCGATATAATTAATTCGATATAATTATATAATGATGTAATATTTAGCTCTCAAAATTTAAATATGCATGAGATGACCATATTTCTATTGCTGATTCAGTTACATATAATACTGTCTGATTTACATTACTATAATAATTTTTTTTGAATTCTTATACCATTTTTTAAAAGCGTTTTAAAATGATTATAATGTATACCTCATTGCGGTTGATTTAATAATTTTAATTTATCTCTATTTAACACTCCATCCAATGGTAATTGATGTTATTCGTGAAATGTAAAATGGCATAGCTGCCATCACCATTTTGAGAATTATATCCGTAGATTGCTAATGTTTGTATCCCTAATTCACTAGTAGTTTCTACCATATTAACAATACACGATGTGTACGATAATAGGTTAAATTTTTATTCGATAATTCCTAGACCAGATTTTCATTCATCAAAGTTCAATATCTCTAGATCAGATTTTAATTCAATAATTCCTAGACCACATATCCATTTAATAATTCTTAGTTAAGAATTCAATTCAATAAATTAATATCTCTAGGCCAGATTTAATACAATAATTCCTAGACCCGGTTTTAATTCAATAATTTTAGGTTTATTATATCAGTTATAGAATATTCACGGTATTCCATTCAGATATTTTTGATGAATTTTAACTTGATTTCAATACATCGTCATTTTCTGAAGGGATAATTATTTATAATTTTTTTCTAAATGGACGTTTGTAACGAAACTTATCCAAGCTACATATCCCGTTAAAATTCATAACAAAATAACTGAATTAATGGAAGATAGAGAATATCCTAATGCTGTTATAAGAATCGTGAATACAAAATATGGAAATAAATGGCTTTGGATCTGAAAACTTATAAAGAAGGTCGAATGTTAAGTGTAATTTTACTAAATCGACATACTACTTGTTTAAAAGAAAACAGATATAAAAATAATTTAAAACCTAAGAATTTCAGGTTAATGTATAAAAGATTTCTGACAGAATATATTATTGAATTGAGTTGAACTGTAGAATTCTGTTTAAATATTTTAATACGATTTAAATAAAAAATGGAAATATTTAATAATCTAAAAATTGTGGTTCTCAAAAACCATGTGCAGTACGCCCCTCTTTTCACTTTTTCTCCTTACTACTAAAAATCTATCTTTAAGGAAAAGTTTCATTAAGGGAAACATATTTAACTTCAATATTTTAGTTGTAGGAAGATGCCGAACAAATTTTGAACTTTTGCAATTTTTGAAAATTTTGCAGTTTTTTAGAGAACATAAGTCCTGCATGTAATCGTTTTTCACACTACGCAGCATTAAAATTTAATTAAAAACGCTGTAGCCACTTTTTTTACATTTTGAAAATATCCCAGGGGCTTCGTATAAAGTACCGATGAAAATTAAAATATCGGATTCAAATTTCAAAGGCTGTGACATCAGCCATACCAATAGGAGGATATCAATTGTAGAGAAAATCGGCTGAACATTTTAGCCGCTAGTGTTGTTCACAGGCAGACGGACAGATACACGATCAGAGGGGCAGTCGTTTTGCCTTCAATCTATTTTTCGGTATCAAGGCCTCCCAAAACATCAATTCCGGATAAACACGTGTTAGAGGATTTTTTTTCTAATTATGACAATTGGATTTATCCACCTTTTCCTTACTAGGGCTTTGCAAAAAGAGTTTTTCTACCGACACTTTTTCTCGTAGCATTACAACACTACAACTTTTTCTCTTCTGCGTAAACGATAGCGAGGAAGTAAAATTCGCCATTTTTACTTTCTCACTATGGGGTAGAGAGAACATTATATAATGTATTATGTAATGCCGAGGGTGTTTAGGGTTGCATTTGACATGAATATTGAGTTTTGTTCTACTGCGTCATCTAGTGATATTTGACGATATTTTAATAGTTATTCTGCTAGTCTGAAGAGATGAATCCAACAAATCCGAGATAATTGAAATTGGTCCAGCCGTTCTTGAGTTATAAATACTGTAACTAAAACTATATTTTTAAAGAGAGAGATTAAATTGATATTTTAGTGATCAGTTCAATCTCTGTCAAGCCCGAGTAATTATGCAGTTATGCAGTGTCTCCTTAAATCTCAAAATGTCTAGTTTTATTACTTTTACCGCTTTACTCATGTAACACTAATGCCTACCAACAATTATACATTTTTGGGGAAAATCTGACATACTCTGCTAAATATTTGTGATTACTAGGGATGTTATGATCGGGTTTCTAGAGGCTGTTTCCCCTCCCCTCAATAAATTTCGTTGCCGGAAGGTTCGTCCCTTCCCTCTTTCCATTGCCGAACTGCTCATACCGCCTGCGTCAACACAGCCTCTCTTTCACTCTTTGATCCCACAAACGTGAACAAACGAATTTCCGTTTGTTAGATCCAAAAGTTGTTTCGCTGCTGGTCATAAACGTGGCTTACCTATCTGTGTAAATTTTCTTGAGCTCTTTCTGGAATGTAGATATTAGAATAAACGGTTTCCATTATATCGTGGGTCGTTTCCTTCTCGTAAAGTACTGGGGATAATAGCCTAAATCTGTAGTTGATTTGCCTTTTAAAGTAGTTTTTTATAACACGCGAGAGTGATTTTCTTCATATCAATTCTTGTAAAGAACGGTCATTGCTACATGTAATTATAATTGTCTTAATATATGAGTAGGAACTGATATCCCTGAGTTTAAGAAGCATGCATATATTGTAATTAGATTTAGATTTATTTAGAAAAAACGTAAAAACTGTATGTGACGTAGGGGGAGAAGATTATCGGCGCACGTTTTCTTGAGTTCCAGAATTCCTTCCCGTCATTTTAACTATAAATAGTTGAAAGATGGGTAAAAGTTTAAAATAAATAAATTTTAAAAAATTAAAAATCGCAAGTTTTGCAATGTTTGATAAGCTAGACATTTTCGTTTCTGAGTTATAGAAAACTTATTTGCATCGGTACACGAATTGCAAGTATGATTTTTCTGCATTGCTAACAAACTAGTAACTCGCCCTTACCTCTACTCTTACCATTACAAGCAAAAGGAGAGTTTAACAAAACGTGCACACAGTGAAGCTACATTTACGACCAAAAGCAAAACAAGGGGCCATCTCAGCATTTGCTCAATGGATCACGGAAACTGGACAATAACTGATCACTTCTCCCCATGGTACTTCACACAGTTTTAACTGTTTACGTTTACTGTTTACGTTAAATAAATAAGGAAGTGCCATGCGGCAAAAGTACCTGATCTGCCTGATCACAATTTTTCTGGTAAATTATTACGGTTTTTCAGATAATTCAGCTTACCATGAAAACTATTTTTTTGTTGTTGTCCACGGACTCTGGTGTTTCTGGCAACTCTGCTGTCCCCCAACCTTCTAACTTTGAAAGATCTATCCTTTGCTCTTTCGTGAAGTTCTCCGAGTAAGAAAATTTATCAGTAAATAGCATGCAGAACATCTTAGCTTTGGGCCACAGTGGACACTCGTGAATGGGCCAAAGCATGGCCCTATCTCCAGAGTATTGTACTCTTTGAAAATATCTTTTATTTGAATAAATACTAGTTTCATTAAAGGGCTCAGGACCTGCTACCCATTTGTCTCCTTTCAATTCTTCTACAGTGAATCTCACTTTAATACCCAATACGTTGGGATAGTCTTCTTCTGGAAGCCTGGCCCATATTGATACCCATCCAGGGCCCGCGGAGACTGAATGTGCCACTATGGTAGGGGGTTTATCTGAAAAATACAAAGTAAAATACTTTAATCCTACGAAGTATAATTCAGTTATAAATAACCTACAAATATATTGCAAGCATTTAAATTAAGTAATAAAATATTTCAAGAATTGAATACAAACAGAAGTCAATTACACCGTAAGCTTCACAGGTAGCCTATATTTGCAGCACGAATTTTCTTTTCCAACATGCACCACATTCTTAAATAGGATTCGCACTCACGGTATTTGAAGGCTAGGGAATTAGTGCAAATACATTGTCATGTTTTGCAAACCAGTCTTGCGAGTGAAGCATAAGCACTTTCCCCTGCTGTTTCCTTTGTTTAATTTGCAGTTTGAGCTCATTTTCACAGAAAATATTTGTGTTCTCGAGAAACTTCCATCAAAAATCATTTCAAGATCGGTACTCACAAATTCAATAATGTATAAACAAAGACTGCATTTTAAATATTAACGGGAAGAGGAAGAATGCCTCAAATTGATATTTACATCTTGTTATTCGATGCATTTAATACTCTCCGCACAAAAAAATTCAAGCTAGTGGTACTACAGAATGGCACAAACTTTCTCATAGTAAAATTATCTTATTTCCTTGGTGGCTAGCCTTACGGTCTTTTCCCATCCTCTTGTCAGCTGCCATCTATGGCCACCGAAAATCCTTTTATTTTAACTTTCTCAATTTTCGGGACCCTAATGACAGTTTGTTAATGTTACTTTTAAGATATTAAAGAAAAGTAAAATCTCGTCCTATATGGAAATTTTTGATGACAAATTTGGAGACTTTTTTTTAAAAAAATCCTTTAATCTGTTGCGTAAATGCGAAATTTGAAGCTATTTTCTTGGGAATCTTTCGTGTATTAAAAAACTTCATTTGAAGTAATTTGAAGAACGTTTTTCGAAAAAATGTAAAAATATATACAAATTGCTGGAAGTGTGCATATTCATCGCGTCAGAGATATTACAAAAACACATTTGTTTATCTTTGAAAAAAAAACAACAACAAATACAGCAAAATTAAATCTATGTCATCTTAAACAGTGCAATAAGCACTATCTGTACGAAAAATTAGAAAAAAAACGTGCAGCCTGTTTAAGGAAATGGCGTTTAAGCGTTATTGCGACATTTGAAGCTTTTCTTCACAAAAATATTTTGAGTGTTCTAAAAACTTATTTGGAAGTCATTAACTCGCACATTAACTCGCAAATACAATAGTGATTACAAATTGCTGAACATGTGCATATTAACGACGTGAGAGAGATATTTAAAAGATTATTTGTGTAATTTGTGAAGAAAAAAACAACCACAGAATACACCAAAATTAACTTAACGTCATATTAAAGTGTTCAATTAGCACTATCCCTTGAGAAAATTTGAGCCATTTTTGAGTAAATTGCCTTTGAGCTTTTCTGAAAACGCGGAATTTTGAGCTCATTTCCATAGAAAACCGTTGAGTTTTTGAGAAACTTTATATGACACTATTTAAAGCACATGCAATCATAATTGCAAAAATTTGTACATGTTACCGCTAATGTAAATATTTAGGATGTGGGAAAAACGAAAAAAAAACATTTTAATTAAAAAACAATAGAAGAACAGAGAAATATGGCGTTTATGTCACCTTACAGGTTACATTTAGCCCGATTCCTACCAAAAGATTAAAGCAAACATTTGGAGTCGTCTTCGATTAATTCTTGATTTTTAAATACTGCACATACTGTATACAATATTGCGCGAAAACAATGAAAAGTTTCAAAACAATGTACATGACCTTAATGAAACAACTAATTGTGAACAATAATTATGATTATTTGAAGGAAAAATCTCTATCTTGAAATTTGTAGTTGTAGAGATCCCGTAAACAATTCTATCCTTTAAAATTATCGAAAATTCAGAGTTAACAGTGAAAAACGGACCTAGGCCGCCTTTATAAGTATATTTTATATTCTTACAAGAAATTTAAGGAGCAAATTTTACAGCCATTTTTGAGAAGATTTGACAATGTCTCTAGGGCTACTTGTAAACTACCCCCAAAATATTTTAATGTTTTTCAAAATCTTAAGAGCTTTGAATCAGGCTTGACAGGGTTTATTTAGTTTAGAAACCAGTGGCGCTAAATAATGGCATAGAGTTTCTCGTAGTAATGTTTTCTAATTGCCTTGGTTGACCTTCTTGCCCCATCTTCTTACCAGTAGCCATCTATCGCCGTCCAAGGTACAGTTTTAAAAAAACAACATTTTTTTCAATTTTTAACTTTCCTAATAATGGAATCCAAATAATACTTTAAGAATATTAAAGAAGAGTAAAACCTTGTCCTAAATGGCAATTCTCAATTAAAAATTTGGAGCTATTTTTGGAAAATGGCGTTTAAGCGTTGCTGTTAATGTTGTTGGAATCTCTTTTACAGAAAATTTTTGAGTTTTCGAAAAAGTAAGTTTTGCGAAAACTCAACTTTTGAAATGTTTGAGTTTTTGAGTCATTTAAAATCATTTGAGGCATCTTATCTCGCAAATGCAATATTGTTTACAAATCGTTGGAAATGTGCATATTAGCGTCGTGAGAGATATGTCATCTCAAAGAGTGAAATTTGCACTAAGAGGACGAAAAGTTAAAGAAAATATGAGCCATTTTTGAGAAAATGGCGATTGAGCGTTTTTGAAAATGCGGAATTTTGAGTTTCTTTTCACAGAAATCTCTTTTGAGTTTTTGAGAAACTTTATATAAAATACTTTAAAGCACATGTACTCCTAAACCCAATAATATGAATAAATCGCCGCTAGTGTCATTATTGACGACACGAGGGACAAGTAAAAAATTACAACTTGGTAATTTTAGCAAAAACGAAAGAATAGAGTAATATAGCGTTTATCTAATCATATAGAGTGCGTTTAGCACTATCCCTATTAAAGGTTTAAAGAAAAAATGTTGAGCTGTTTTTGAAACAATATTGTTTTACATATTTTTAAATTACAAATATTGCGCGAAACTACTAAAAGTTTCAAAAAAGTAAATTACCCTAATGAAAGAATTACTTATACTCGTAGATAACAAATTTTAATTGTTGGAAAAATCTATCTTTAGTTTTGTATTTTTAGAAAGACGCCAAAAAAATTCATACTTTTGCAATTTTTGAAACTTCAGAGTTAATCATGAAAATTAGACCCATGCCACCTTTATAAGTGTAACTTACACCATTCTTACAAGAAATTTAAAGAACAAATGTTTGAGCAATTTTTTGAGAATTTGATGTCCCTAGGGCTTCGTGTAAAGTACACACAAATTTTAAAGACTTTTTTCAAAATCGCGGTCCCTGGAGTTGAGGCAGATCGACCGGGGAATATCCATTTTGGAAAAAACTGTTCGTATGGTTTTGGCGTTAGTGGTGTTCACAGACAGACGGTCGTTTCGAAAAAAAACAACAAAAAAACAGTGTCGGTGTCAGTAGTCTCCAAAACGTGAATTTCCCTTGAAATCTGTAAATCGATTTTCTGCAGCATTATATAACTTTCCGTATACTACGTATATACGTATGCATATGAGGCAGTAAAAAGCGATAATATTTTTGAGATACCCTGCCCTGATTGGGTCATATTATATGTGTAGTTAAACACTATCCGTTTTAATTTCACGAGAGAAATAGTCGTAAGAAAGATCCCTTAAATTTATAACACAAGCTCCAATGTAAGAAAAAAGCAAATTAATATGAAATAATTCTAAAAAAAAAACATTCTAACATACGCAGCATCCAACTGCCTCAAAACAACGAAAATTACGATCAAGAAGCGCAGTAATTTCAGAGCAGAAGACGATGACTCCGAATTACTCAAAAAACACTCATGGTTTCGAATAATTTAAGATCGTATTTAAAAAAATCATCTTTGAACACATTTCACTATAAAAAGAGAATCTTCATTAGTAGAAGAGTTGTAGGAAGACACCGAAAAAATTATTTTTTTCAATTGTCGAAAAATCAGGGTATTGAGAAAATGAAACTTGTACCATTTTCATAAATGTTCTTGAGACTATGCATCAAGAAAATTTCATCAAAAACGATGGAGCCGTTTTGAGAAAAAAATGTTAAAACAAAAATTAACAATTGCCTATATTTCATGCAAAATTACGCGAAAAATACTCAAATTTTCGAAAAATTGTACATGATCTTATTTCAAAATCTATCTTTAATAAACATATGTTATTAATATCTTCTTCTTCTTCTCCATTTCAGGGATTAGGCAGAAGTGCCTGTTCCGTCTTCGCTCTGCACA